AAAATTTACAGATGCACAGCTTAGTGCATGATTTCATCGACAGAATATTTTTCTTCGCTACAATCGTCTTGTTTCCCTTTACCTATGATATGAAGTTTGAGTTTCATCTTTTGTAAATAATTGACCATACTTTTCACTATAATATACACAACTTAGTTGACTGACCGGTTGTCCCGTGTTCTAATATTCATTCAGTGTGGGTTCTTGGATGGCCACCATTCTATTGAAGTAAGTCAATACATATTGTTAATACCGTCAGAAAACATCGATTCAGTTATCATGGTCCTAGTTTTTATTCATCAATCTCATACTTTTTTTCAATACAGAAATATGGAAAAACACCTGTTCTTGGAAATAAATCACTACATTTTCTTGTAGAAGTTACTAACTTGGTGTTAAGAGCTATGGTTATAGTTTTGTGAAGATGATGTGGTTTCTCAGTCATCCGTAAAGATTATGCAACCTTAAAAGTAAGTTTAGGTTTTCGGTGGCTACTGCTAGTTGTAGTGATTACGTTGTCTATGTAGCTATTTTACATGAATCATGTGACAATGGAAATCAGTGTGGTGGCAAAAAGGCATGCTAATAAAATCTCAAGTTATGCTTCAGCAGGCGTGTCGAGAGAATAAGCTTCACTGTGAGATTAATTAATGTGGTATTTTTATCCCTACACGGAAGTATAACTAACTATCTGCAAATAAAGTACAATAATAGTTAAGTTTGTAAAGAATATGCATCAAAGATGGTATCCTGCAAATTCTTACAATAAGTCGCTTAATAATATCCGAAATGTAAATGATTGGAGGCAATCACCAAGAAGGCTGAATGTAGGTTTCACGCTCGTTGGTACTTGTCAATAAAACATTTCTGCAACTTCGGAGGAACTGATGTACCCTATTAGATTGAAACCGGCGCCACTGAGTGTTGCAGTCGGCGACACTGAAACTTAGCTATTCGGACTGTAACTGACTCCCCTATACGACTTGATTAAAGAGCAACCAACTTCGCTTCATTGAATCCTAATTGTTGACAAAATTCTGTCGATCCATTTGCAATGCGCCCAAAGAGCTAAAACCTGATATCGCTGAAAACTTAATCTGACTTTTATCGAAACAAGTACTTGCTGAAAGTAGTTGGCATTAAATGGGTGCCAATCCAAAAACACTGGTCGCTATACCCTTCTCGTAGATAATTACGTTATAAAAACTAGCTTAAAAATATGTGGGTGAAAAAAGCTATGATTTGTAAATTGGGACGACGTTAAATTGAGGCATAGTTAAGAGATGCATTTCGAAGCTCAGTTTGTAGGATGCTGAACAAATAACTAGGAAACTACTGGCATGAACCTTCTGATGACTGAATATTATGCTGTTTCAACCAACAGTCGGTTAGCTGAAGTTGTTGCAGATAAATAAGGTAGTCGCAATTAACAAATATGAATTATTTAAACAACTAGCTTCACACAGAGTACACAAAAATAGGAAATCATATCACAATACATAACACTTCTACGACACACTTGAAAGTGAAGCAGAACAAGCTGTGGGTAGGAGAGACAGAAACATGACAACACTATCAAATAACTGCGTTACTAAATGGGAAGACATCAACACAGATGAAAACAATGAAAGATAGTAAAAGAAACATAGTTACTACCAAAGAGGAGAAACAAAGAAAATGATGCGATGACCACATCGAGAAACTCTTGAATCGACCACCACCTGCAACTCACCCAGAAATACCACCACCAACAGTCATAGAATTACCATCAGTGAACACAAACCCTCCGACACAAGCAGAAGTGAGGTCCTGAACGCCATAGAGTTGCTGAAATCCATGAAAGCAGCACAGCCAGATAGAATTCCACCAGAAGCACTGAAAACAGACACAGAGACAACAACAGACATGTTCACATCACCATTGCAGAAGCTTTCGAAGGAAAGCTAACTGTCGATTGGTTGGAAGAAAGGCTACCTCGTCAAACTCCCAAAGAAGAGTAAACGACCTTAGTCTTTCCAACAACTGGCACGGAATCATGCTCCTGTCCACCCGAAACGAGCAAAATATTATGCCACAACATCCTGGAGAGACTAAAACATCCTCTGGATTCAAAATTACCACCGGAACAGGCTGGCTGGCTTTAGGAAGAACAAATCATGTGCGGACCAAATTACAACGCTTTACTCTACGCATCATCATAGAACGGAGCATAGAATGGCAGTCAACTGGATGCTTAGCTCAACTCAACTCCGTCGACTTTGAAAAAGCCTTCGATCGAGAAGTAATTTGTCAGGCAGCTGCTTCAACACTACAGTTTTAGTGCCACAAACCTTTATCAACCTCATTCAACAGCTATATGTTGTATAATGCTACATGCCAAGTAATTCACAGTGGGAAGCTCAGTGATGCCTTTGAAGTGAAGAGGGGAGTAAGACAAGGTTGCCATCTACCATCATCGATGATATTCCTGGTTTTGGTGGACTGGATTATGCAACAAACCGTGAGGAGCGAGAAGAGGGACATACGCTGGTTGAATCGATGAAAAGACCTTAGAAGATTTGGATTTCGCTGATGATGAATTACGTGTAACGTTGCACAAACTGCAAGATGTACAGGCGAAACGTGACTAGTTGGCAGAAGAGGCGAGGCGAGGTGAGGCAGCGAAGGAAGACGGGACTTCCTTCAAGTGAACATAGAGAAGACAGAGGTGATGAAATACCCACCCAACACCACCACACCAACAACAACAAGCACCATCAACGGGAGAAATCTAAGGGAAGTTGTCTCTTTCACCTACCTAGGCAGGATAGGACCGTTCCAACTACAGGCGATGGCAGCGGCACAGATGAAGGCGTCAAATCCAGGATCAGAAAGACAGCAAGTCAGGTCTTCAGTGACCTGAAATCAGTGTGGAGATCTACTGCACTGCACTGCACTCAGCATAAGGCGTGAACAAGATCCGGATTTCCAACACTAATGTCAGTCAAGTCAGTGCCTCTATATGCTGGTTGAGAGACTTGGCGCGTCACGAAAAGCATTTCCAACAAACTACAGACATACCTCAACAGCTACTGCCTACGTTTGCTCACTCGATACTGAAGATCAGATCAGATGGTCAGAAAAAAATAAGTAACAAGGAACTCTGGCTGGTTGGCTGACTGGCGACGAACCAACTAAGAACTTATCACCCAACAAATATGCAGAAGAAAGTGGAGATGGATTGGGCATACACTGAGAATGCCGATTGGGGATATCACGTGTCAGACCAGGCCAGGTTGTCGAGTAGAATCCAAAGGTGAAACGACGAGTTGGGGGTGCGAGGAGTGGGTGACATTGAGGAGATCATGTGAGGAAGAAATGAGAGCTTGTGTACAGCGGTGTAGCTAGGTTGTTAAAGACTGCCGAGAGATGAGTGAAATGGCGAGGTGCTGCTGAAGCCGTATGTCCTACTAGGAACCCAAGGGACAAATAATAATGTAGGTATAATTGTTAGTGGTGTTACCTTTGTGTTACAGACCTGATAATGGTTCTGCAAATGTAGCTTAAAAGACTAAGGCGCAATCAAGTTGAATCATCAAGTTAATATGGTGTTTAAACTGTGTTTGTCATCAGTAACTTTTATTAGAGTCACTCCTCTACATTCAGTTACGACTAGTTTACGTACACAAAATTTCGCAGAATAGGAATACAGTCTACCCTTGAAACTCCATTACACGAGAAGTCTCCTCCTTCAGCAGAGGAATTTCACAGAGTTTTTCAAATACTGCACAAAATTCGTGCAAGAATAGTTGTTTTACAGTCTACAATGGTGTTGGCTGAATTTCTTTCCATTAGCTACATGACAAACTTAACCGCTATGTACATCCTTATGCATGTAAATCCCTTCCCAAAATATCTTGAGGGCAAATATGAGTTGGATATAAGATGGATAGAATTCCTGTCTTCATACAGAATTTTCCACTTTTTTAAGGACCTGTGTACGGAGATACTCCTGACAAGATTGGAGAAAATAATGATGGATATGCATAAACATAATGATTCACTAAACGGAAAATTTAAAAACAAACATTTCATTGGTGTTTAAATAAGGTATAAATTTCGCATTATTAGTATACGGTTATAAGAGTTAGCAGAAACAACATATCACTAAGCGAATCCAAGCAATCAGAAGATAATGTGATTATTTCTATCATTGGATTCACAAGTCGATCGAAACTCCTTTGATCCACCATGGGCAAGGGCAGTAATGAATTGTGTGAACCAGTCTTTTGTAAGGTGATAACCATGCTAGTTGCATTCCGTGAATTAAGAGGAAGATAACAATGATATGTCTGAAGACTACAAAGTAGCCAACAACACAAGTACCTCTTATTTAACCATTGCGTTTTCGACATCTGGATAATACATGTATCTAGCTAAAGTTGAACAACGATATCCTATTAAATAATGGAACAGCAAATCATTCAGTAAATAACTAGACAATTCACAGTCTTAATACATTAGATGTTGAGGTGGAAGTTTCTAGGCTTTGCAGTTCCATTCATATTATTGAATGTTTTGAATAGTGTTATAAACAGTTTGGTTAGTTTGGAGAGGCAATCACAGTCAACTGGTAAATCGCTTTCCTATTGAGTTTTATATTTGTCGGGTAAAAAACGCACCACATAAAAAAATTCTCTGTATTAGAAATTCGGGCGTTATCTTAGGATATTCTTACGCTTCAATTCAACACAAGATATACACACAGTGGAGGTGGTAGACGTAGCTTCAGTTCACTTTAATTACAAAATATTATAAATAGCATACAATACACATACTTATTAATAACAACAATAACAGATAATCATATCTACAGCATACAGGGTACACAAGAAAGGTAATTATGTGAACACACAAATGAAACTGGAGAATACCAAATGCATGTACATGGAACTTATGCATCAAGGAATTGAAGAACGCACAGAAAAGGTAAAATATACACAGTAAACTATTTACAACATTCAAGGCCATAAATTAGCTTCCTTCATTTTACCGATAAAGTAACGTTCTAAAGTGTTTGCAGTTTTATACAAGTAAGAGTCTTGTTGATTGTAAGTACGACAATTATGAAACATTCGCATCATATCAGCAATGAACAATGATTTCGTAATATAATAATTCGATTTCAATCGTTCCCACATTGTACCTAAATCTGTAAATTAGAAAGGAAATAAGATAACCATGTAAATAATACTGTGTCACTTTGTCTTATAAATTAAATACACAAATCTAGTATAGTAAAATAATCGACTTTTTTCGTCGGTTTTATAACGTATAACGGGAAGAAAAACAACACTAGTAAATAACAGTAATGCTAAGCTCGGACAAAATATTCTGAAGCGAAAATCTTTATGTCGATTCCCGACCGATGGCTGCGACCTTAATATGGCGGTCGGGCTCTCATATCACAGTAACCCACGGAGCTACACTGGATGGAACGTTTGTTGACTACAGGGCCTAGATATAGCTCAGCCCTTCGTGCTCCACGGTCTGCCGATACCGATGGTATGGGTTTTCTCTGTTTGGTGTTAGAACAATCAAATCTCATACTAACAATTCTGAAAAGACAGTGTGTGATAGGCCTCAAGCAGATGTTCCAGTGACTCTGCTGTTGCACAAATCTTCTTCCCTTTCAAGTACCGTAATAATGAATAGCCTCCTATGGTGTAGGAAACCGGAAAATGTCAACCACCAGCACCCTTCCAGTATTATTCAAGACCCAATCAAAAAACCAATCCTCCTCAAGCCTGTCTCCTTATTCGCCTTCGCCTCCGGATACTTAATATTAGGCTCCTTACACATTCTCTAACCTCTCACTCTGCGACTATTGCCAACGATCAAAGTCATCGAAACACCATTCCTAGTCTCCTAAGACACCAAAATTGATTTCATGTTAGAACTTTCAATGTCAGTAATTCTAAGCCAAACCGAACAGAAAGCGTTGCTCACTATAATTCTGGAGTCTCGAACCATGAATATATGCTGTGTTTCTAAAGCACGTATAATAGACCCGAGCGACGTTATTCACTTGACCTTACCTGGCCATTGTAGTGAATCTTCAAAATTCACTTCACGAGTATCCGCAGACCTAGAGACTAGGTCTCGTTGGTTTGCTGGCCTAGAGGTAGCTTTGAAATGTAGGGCAGAAAGTGCATTTCTCGAAAGAATACGAGTCAACAGTCGTCTGTGTGCTGTTTGCCTGAATGAATCTGTAAAAAAATGGGATAACCGTGAGACCAGCCGATATCCATATGTAGACGCTGCCTACGAACTCACTGACTGCATTTCAGGTGATGCTAAAAATGAATTCTATGGGAAGCTATCAACTCTGCTACAGAAAGCAAACCGGTAAGATAGTCATAATGGGAGGCGACTTCAACGCTCAAGTAGGAAGGTTGAGTCATTCGGAAAGGCATATAGTGGGTAATTGTGGAATCCCATGTCAACGAACCGACGACTGAGATCGTTCGCTGCAATTTTGTTCAGACAACCACTTGTTTCTGATCAGCAGTAACTTCAAGCATAAGGAGAGATACGATTTCACATAGCGTTCATCGACATCAAATCAACTTTGGACACACATAGATCATATTCCTATAGGCCATCGTTGGAGAATTGCTGCTCTTTCTGGAGTACCTATTTGGTCTCCGATCACGCGCTTGGACGAGCTCGCGCGCATATCTTCCCTTTACTGGTAGCAGGAAACAGGTGATAGTAAGGATTATCTATGGTCGATTGAAAGATGAGGATGCCACGTAGGTACTTAAGGACGAGTTAGGTAAGTATCAATCTGAACATGACAGCAATGCTCATCCTGAGGAAACCTGGCATGATATTCAATCTAATGTAAAAACAGCGGTAAAGACAGCTAGTAACCTACACCAAAGGGTAGTAAACGTCAACAGATTTCTGCAACCTCACCCGAAATGACTGGTGCGATAAGACTGATTCCAGTTGGCTCCGACCACGATGAAGAGCTAAAGTAACTTAAATGTAAGTTGATGAAGATGTTTCACAAGGTTTGTGATCAGCAGTGAGAGTCAAAGGCGAGAGATATGGAGAAGGGATCAGCGTTGGGTAACACTCGGGAACTAGTTAAATTTACTAAGGATACCGGCAAGAAGAAAACGATGGTGAGTGAAACCATCACTAAAAGGGATGTGACGCACATAACTACTCAGGACAGGTGGCTAGTAGGTTGAGCAGAACACTTTGAAGATCAGATCAACTGATTCACAGCAATGCCTCAGTCGCCCAACATTCAGTACGCACCCGAATGGGATGTAAATGCCAGTCCTCCAGCTGTCCTTGAAGTTAATAAAGCTGCGTCGAACTTGAAACGATGCAAAGTAGAAGGAAATCACAGTTAACCACCTGAGGATTTCAAGGATGGAGGTAGGAAATAGCTAATTAAAGTGACGTATGTACCAGATAGTGTATAGAAATCAGAGGTAGTCCCATCAAACTGGTCTAGTTCTCTGATCATTCCAGCCTATAAGAATGGATAGTGCTATCGTGACAACTATAAGTGAATCAGTTTGACCAACATCGTCTCCATGATCCCTGGGTTATCCGATGCCAAACTCGAGTTCGAGAAAAACAAACTGGAGAGAACCAGGCAGGTTTCGCACTTGAACGAGAGTGTATCGATCAGATTTTCACCCTTCGACAGGGTTTCGAACACAGCTATACTAGCCGGTCAATGACCGACACTTGCCATATTCCTTGACCTGAGAGCAGCATTTGACTCTTTGACTACAAAACCAGTGGAAGCTCTCTGCTTGAATTCACACAGCCATGTAAGGGTTCATGGGGAATAGTCGTCTGAATTCACGACAGCTAGTGTCTGGTAGGGATGTCCACTATCATCGTTTCTATTTAACTTTGTCATAGATATATTAGTGGAAATAACCTCAGGTACTTGTGACTTTAACAGCGAACGATCTACTCCCTGGAGGCAATCTGCTTGACTTGGACTACGTGAGGGTGAAGATGATAACAAAATGTAGGGTCTTCCGAACGCCTCCAGCAGAAATCTCAGTATGTTTGGCATGCGTTCCATACCTCTTAAATGCAAAATGATGTTCCGCGACTAGTCTACAATTACTCTCAGTTTAATGAAAGGGAGTGAAGTAGTCGAATGCACCAACCACCTCACTTATTTGGGGAGTTGCATCAGATTGAACTGACACGTTACTGAAGAGTTCTCAGCTCCGATACAGTAGACCCGTTTAACATTTGTCAGCTTGTATCATCTCTGGTGCCGACTGGTGAAATATTCAGCTAGATATTAAAGGACGGGTATACTGAGTTGCAGTTCCTTCTGTCCTGTTATGCGGTTGTGAAATATGGTCGTTGAAAGTAGATGATATGAAGAGACTATAGGTCTTTGACCGTTAGTCTCTTTGTAGCATTGCTAAAGTATGGTGAAATCACCATGTGAGCAATGTTGAGTTCAGGCAAAGGGTACTGGGCAAGGAAGGCAAGTCAGTCGATGAGGTTGTGAACCTTCATAATACGTGCGTGGGCTTCACCCCATGTGTTATTTTCTTACAATTTTAGATTATGTAAGAGCTCCTGTTCAGCTTGAAATTCAAGGGTTTGATGCGCAAATGCACCTAGTTTCGTCCTGGATTACATGTGTACTGACCTAGCAGTGCTTATCCTAGATTATAAAGTCTAAGCGTCAATTCTACGCGTTAGGGCAGACAGCTTTAAGCAGTAGATTACTCGGTTCATATAATGATTAAGAGTGAGAGCAGCTGGCTTTTTAATACCTGCAAGACAACCCAACAAGTCTTAACACCATGATAAGCCTCAGATCAACAGAAATTGTTGTTTAAAGTCTGACTCTGATAAAATTATTGCAACATAACCCGGTAAAGTTATTTATGTAGTAGGCTGTCATACTAACTGTGTAGAGACATAATAGTACCCAGTTGCTCAAAGTGAACTATATGGAACTGTGTTTCAAACAAGAAACCAATAAAAGAAAGTCAAAAGCTTAAAGCAGTAAACGACATCTATGCTGAAATCACTTCTCTTTGTTATCAAATACTGCGTCAGCATATAACAGTTTATTGAATGTAAGAATTTTAAGTATCGCTTGGTTTTTTTTAATAACCTCGACTGTCTAAAGATAAAATGTACTGATGTTTACTTTATACCAGAAAAATCTGTTAAACAAAAAGCAAAATGATACTTCTCCTTATTTACACTCTCTCATTAAAATGACACGAGATATTTGTAGCAGATAAAGGTATAGTGAGCGGATGAATGTTCACGTACAGGCCGAAATGTAATTCTGAAAATGGCTACCAAGTGCTATTTGATGAAAATTATTCAGTTATTCGCCGGCCGCATCCTTATCTAGCATACTATAGCAATTTGATTCACGAGTCATACGACTTAATAAGAACCTAATGCTTGAAGTCCAAGGTGTACAAGAAAGGAAATCCTTCTTTCACTTTTTTGCCATATTCTCTCTTTTTTTCACTCAAAACTTAATTTATACCATCATTTTTTAAGATTGTTTAGCTGACGAACGGAGAATTCTGCAAAGATGGAAAGAGGATTACAGTTATATTTTCCTGTGACTTTGTTCTCTGAAAATAATTACTTTTTCATATCATACATTGAAAATTTCCATTTAAGACATATGGAAAAAAGATTGAGTGAGTGAAGAAATATATTTATTTTCAATTAGGTCTTCGTATTTGGCTCTACACTGATATATAGGTTTACAATTTAATCAAAACACCAATTATTTAAGTGGTAGCGGGGGGGGGGGTTAAACACTAGTTACAGATTTTTAGTAAGTCATGAAGATGACAAGTTTGAGAGATCAAGATGCAAATAACGAGCAGAGTAATTACGTGATTAAAAATGGTAATTATAATAACGTGAAACAGGTTATTCTTGGGCAAATTGCATAGTGATTGGTCAAGTTAATGGACTGTTTTTTCTATCGAGTTTTAAGCCATAAACAATAAGTAATTACCTAAGAATAAGAAGGTAAATGAATATTGGAAGAGTAAGAGTGGAAGGCCTGCTACATTGTACGCCCAATGTAGAGCTAGTTACATTGGGCGAACAATGAGGCAGGTCCATCGTCTAATTTCCAAGCACCACCCAACATGGCTAAATAAGGGA